AAGTCCGAACGTTCGTAGGTTTATAGAGTAAATGCTACTCTACGTATTATTAGCAGCAAAAGTCCAAGGAGATTTTCCACAAACACATTCTCTAGGATTTTGCCTGCTCTATGTGTGTTTTTACTTGAGAATAGTATAAAACATCCTTGTACTTCGGAAGATTTTTAGAAAATCTTTTCAAGAACCAAAGTATTTTCTGTTGATTTTTAAAGCTTTTATTGAACTGGATAGTATTGAGCAGGTAATATAGAATACATGTTGATATTCTGACAAAATTTAGATGAATCTTGACTGGATTATGAATTTTTTGAGTTTATTCAAAAACAGGCAAAGATAGGTTTTCATTAGGTTCTTGAAACTCTTTTGAAATACAAATCACGAGATTCAGCGTGGTCGGTTATCTATGTTTGCATTCGTCGAAATTACCACATCTAAAGAAATAGTATAAGATTTTTCATTGACTGGACTGGTAACAATTTGAGCAGAAACAAGATTGATTTAACAAGTTCTTTATTTAAAAGTTCTTTTTTACGCGTGAACTGTGACGCATCTTTTCAAAGCTTTTTTTTATGCGCATATACCTTTTTTATATTCTGTGAGGTAAAAAAGCGGTGTTATTTTTTCATATAGTTCGTCTAGTACAATCCAGCTGGATTGCATCTGTCTTTAAATGAACAAAGCTAAAACTATTTATCAAAGCCACATTTATAAACCGTTACCGTGACAAGTGTACGATCAATACTAGAACTTGCATTGTTTAGTGTAAACGCTGATGGGAAGCATTAATGGGATTTAACTGATAAATCTGTTATTTATACAAATACAAACGGCAATAGAAATATTAAAATCACGGCGAATTTTTTGACAGAAATCTGAGTGGATGGATACACTTATTCTAGATACGCAGCTTCTGAAGTGATTTGACTTCGCGCATCCATGGACATATAGAATACTATGATATAAAGGGCAACTTTCTCATCGATTTTGTTTTTGGTCAAATAGAATCAGATGGACGTTGTTTATGTAGTTTCTGTTCGCATTAGAACGGAAAAATATGAAAGTCCGAACGTTCGTAGGTTTATAGAGTAAATGCTACTCTACGTATTATTAGCAGCAAAAGTCCAAGGAGATTTTCCACAAACACATTCTCTAGGATTTTGCTAGATACGATACATCATGGCAGAACCAAGATTTTTACTTTAGTTTTTATATAAATATAAATACTCCCCAAGTTTTTACTACAAAGTAGCGAAAACTGCAAGTTTCTTTCACTTTTCGAACATGAGTTATTCAAAAAGAATAACCAAGTATATTCCAGTTTAAAATGCATATTAATTCGTTGTCTTAATCCGCTAAACAGCCCATTTGAGATCACTAAACATTTACTCATGTACACTACATTTAAGCAAGCTTTACAACAGAAAACATCGAACTTACCTGTTTGAGGTCTTGTTCCACTCCTTGGACAAACTTAATAGTCTGGCTAGATCTCTTTTCGACGCCTCTCAATCTATTGGGGGATCGATGGATCGAGCATACCGATTGATATGATTAAGAAAGGCTTACAGAAATATCAACATTCTTCAATCAGCTAATAGAAATCAATATCGATAACAGCAGCGTCTAGAAGAACAGTTAAGATAATTGTTCTCTTCCAAATTTGAACATTTCATCAATGCGCTATTGTATACAAGTAGCGAAGTTATGTTTGTTACATTAGTTATTTAGCAGACTGATGCATTTATATCAGCTCATCCTTCGAAAAATGATTAAAAAAGATTTCGCAAAAATTATATCGCGTATGAAACAAACTGTCGAACTTTGAACAACCATAAGAACAATGATGATGACAAACAAAATATTTATTATACTAGACAAATAAAGATCTGAACCGAAAAACATACGCCCGATGTTGTATTAAGCCAGTGCATATTTTGTTGCTAGAAAGAGAGCACAAATTCTCTAATAAACCTGTTTCGTTTATTATTACAGTGTATTCATTCAGGTAAATATTGCGATGACATCTAAAAGTGTTGATATGTCTACAAGTACTATAAGATTTGTTAATTGCAATCCTGGAATCGGTATTTTGTTTCTAGAAAACGACGAGTTAACCTTAACGTCAAACATTTTTATTAGCAAACACATATGTCTGTAGGGGTGTTAGCCAATTACTTTATCGGCGACGTTGAAAAACTCCAAAAAACTTTTCCACCTTTGGCGTCAGCTGCACGGCTAACACCTCTATTTGTCTGGTCTAAATAAGTTTTAAAATATGTCTTAATTGATTTGTAATCTTAATTCCATGCAGTTTCCATTTTAACGCTGAAAAATCTAATCGTTCTATTATATCTTTTTGTAATGCGACTTCTGCTGTTTCAGCTCGTCTAAAATGCGAAAGAAAATCTCCGCTATCTTAATGTTTTAGATGCGTAATTATGATGAGATATTACTCACGCAAAAACATTAAAAAAGTATCGTTCTGAAAAGGCCGCAATTCCTTCAAATTGTGCAAACGTAATTTTATCTCCACTTTTCAGATCTAATAAGAGAATAACTTGTTGAATATATTGATGATCTACCGTACGCATATAAGCATCAGATAGTGCCTCGGACAAGACCTAAACACACAACGCAAGATTTTAGAATACGTGGATACAAAAGAATCGATCACTCGTGTACCTTCGTTGTCAATTCACCGTCTGTTCCTTTATGTTTATCAAATATTCGTTTGTATAGTGCATGTCGTCTATTACTGACTCGGCAATATTTTTCCAAATATTCCCTTGGTGTCAAAGCTACAAAAAGTTGAAAATATCAACATTTTGATTATCTATTTGTCAGAAACATACTTTCAAATTGTTTCAAATCAAATGGCATTGAGAATCGACTTGCCTGTTGTGAAAGAATAACACTGACACCATAATTTCTCTAAATACATAGATGAACCCACATCAACCGGTATTTTTATCCCATGGTATCTTTCCTTTATTTACTTTAACGTTATCACCATCAATATTAAAATCTGTAAGATCGGGTATGTCTGATGGACCATCAGTTACCGTCGTTGTAGTAGCATCATCTGTTTCTTCATCAGTCATTATGTATATATATATATATATATATATGTTTTCTCGTATTTCTTTTTCGTTTAGTGAATTTAACCTTCGAATAGATAGATAAGAACGACTATTTATATGAGTATGCGCAATTGATTTTAAAACTCTTATTTAATTGCAGTTCTCACTTTCTCAACAGTCTTTTTTTCTGCTGTATTTTCTTGTTTTTCTCGATTGACTATCGTTAATAAGTTGATTTTTACTCTCTAAAAAGATAATGTAAAGTGAAAAAAAAATTGCTTTTTTTATGAAAGCCCCACAAATCATGGAGAATAGAAAAAATTGATTATTATATGGTTTCAATACATTAATTATTTCCTGTACAAAGAAAACAACATATTCAACAACACGTCGTTCAAATAAAAGTTTTAACCGCATAAACCATTTATTTGGATTCAAAATAAACTATTCTTTGCAAAACACATTCCAGTGCAGCACTGTCAGTGCGCGTGGCATGCCATCGGTTACTGACACCCGTGCCCCGCAAGTGCCGAACCAGTACCAGGCAGTGCCAATATATTTATGCCAAAAAAGTGCCGCGTTGAAACTTATTTAGTCAGTTGTTGTGGCTTATTTGCACATTTAAAAATCGGTTTCCCGCACTAACCGGTGAAAAATACAAGTGATGACACTACATACGAAAAAACTATACGTTTCACGAAAATCAAAAGTATGAGAAAATCCTAAAAAAAGACTAATTTCAGGTAAGACGTTATGAAAGTGATTAACATAGAAGTTAAACGAATTTTGATACCACCTCTAAAAATTGTAAAAAGCATTATCACAAAATCGACTTTTTATACGCTGAACAGAATCGGTCCAAATTCTTTTTCTGAATAGTTTATTGAATGAATATGCGGTCAGCAAAATCCAACAATTTGACACTGTTCGAAAAAGAAAAGCGCTGGACATACATCTAATCCAATAACTCAAAAAATGGTCCATCAAAGTACGCTCATCAGTGAGCGAGAAAAACATATGCTAATCTAAGTAATTAACACCATAGACATGTCGTAAATAATACGAATACAAGTCGAGTAATCGTCTCTGTTGAACAACATTTGTGTTAAAATAGAAACACAAAGGCGCTAACCAGCTGAAATATGGATAGACAAAAGCAATAACAGCGCGCCGTCTTAATTTAATCGAGACCATATCTTGATGGTTGAAAGGATGAGAGACAGTTCGGAAAGAAGAAGAAATGATTCGACACTGTTCATTAAGCATAGTTCCAAAAACCAATCGAGTCTAATTACGTATCCTAAGTATCGGAATCTTTTCACAAAATTAATTGGTGTTTGGTTATACAAAAGTTCGAAAGGTCGCTCGAACATTGATCATCAGGGCTTCGGTTTTTTAATGCTTAATTTAATAAGCCCTTTTTTAGAGTAAGAATGTATTGCCTCTAGGGCTTTTTGGTCCGTAGAATGTAGCAACTGAATGGCCTCTCGGTACTTAGTACGTAATGGAACTGAGAAAAAAAGGCCAAGATCGTCGGCGTAAAAGTGCTGGAAATGAGCCGAAAGAATATGAACTAAGTCTTAAATAAATAAAATAAACAAAGTCGGCGATAATACACCCCCCCGAGGCGTGCCCCACTCAAGCGGAAATGAAAAAGATCTTAAATTTCGTAAAGAAACATAGCCAGTTGGCCCCTTTAGTCAATTTCGAATCCATAACCGACCAGGGCTGACACGGTGCGTCGCTAGTTTTAACAGCAAAGCGTCGTGCCAAACCCTATGAAAGGCTGACACAAAGTGTATAAAGAGAATAGATCGGGTCTCGACGAGCAGAGAGCAACATGAGCCTGCTCGCAAAGAGAAAGAACTCGCGTTTGCACTTACAGTACTTAAAAAAATTGTAGAGCTATTGTATTGTCGAAATTTTTTGATGAAGCCGAGCAGCTAGGTCAAATTTGAAGTGATCTGAACAGCTCTTGAAGTTCTCTATCAAATGCAATATCTGTCAAAATTTCAGAAAAAAGGTTTTGAAGAAAGTTTTCTAGAAAATCGCTCCAGCGAACCTCGAAGTCCTAGAGAATTGTGTTAAAATATTTTTAATATAGCCATCTAAAACAGCATAAAATTCTAAAAAGAACGAAGGGTCGCACAGCTCTCCACGATCTTTCGTTCCAAAGTTACAGGCATCAGAAAATCCCCAAAAATGTGCTTCTGCTTGTTTTTAGGCGATTTTTAGCGGTTTTTCCGAAATTATACTATTTTTTTGGATTGTCTGATGCCTGTAACTTTCTAACGAAAGATCGTCCAGAGCTTGTTTTGTTTCAGCTTGTTGTTCAATTTTTCAAAAATTGACATATGAGACTTTTGATTGCGATATTTTTTATTCAAAACATATTGTTTTATACAAGCTGGTATGCAGTTTGAAGAACTGATTTCGGATATGTCGTTTGTTTTGATTAGAAAAAATATGTTTTTGGCTGAGAGAAATGAATCTTACCTCAAAAACTATGGGCTTAGAAAATATCTCGTGAAGTCTAGAAACATCTGCGCATTTTTATTTTATGGTCCTAAATGTACTACGCATACAAGAAGATTTTTACAAAGTTAAGCTCCGACTGAAGAGTAAAAATCGTAGAATCTAACAATTCATAGTAATGACTAACAATTCACCGAATTGATGGTGTAGGAAATGGAGATGAATCGACAGAAAACGTTATGAGAGAGGTTGAAAAATCGACTTTTTTTGCGCCAGACGGATCGAGCTGAAATTTTGCGAAATGAATAGTGACTATTACTTATACATTTTATGAAAGTTTCACCTTTACAGATATAATGGTTTCAAAGATAATTACTTTTATAGTTGACGCTAAATGAGTAGCAGTTATTCTCATTGAACGTAGAGCTTTTGAACGGGAGCAATTTTTTCGCGAAGAGAAGGCAGTGTCTAGCATGATTCTTGATGATTGAAAGCTTTTTCAGAGTATATAAGTAGGCTTCGCTTGGTTTTTTGAGTGAACTTTGAATAAGTATAGTCCTCTTTTGTTGCTTAGTTGCACAAGAAAAATCACCCTAAATGGCAATTCTACACAGTATAAGAAAGAAAGGAGAAAATATAGTTCAACTATAGAGATCAAAGCTACCGCTTACATTTTCCTTTCTTTTGATATTATCATTCTTCATTTTCCTTATTCGACTACAATGACCTTCCGGCTTTCTCTTCGGGCCACGGTAGTTTGATAGAAAGTTAGCAATTGTTCTTCGAAAGCTTCTTCCCGTTCAAGGCGTTAACCAGTACATATTAAGTAAATTTAATGGAAATAAAAGAAGTAAAAAGCTCAGAAACAGATAAAGAGATTATTGACAAAAAAGTACAATTATTAAATAACAGAGAAACGAGTAGAGCCAAAGAGGAGAAAGTGATTTCTACAGAAAAGTAAAATTTGTTGAAAGCTTGTGTGATAGAGAGTCAATCGAAATTGTAATCTATTATACATATCTTTTTGCACCACTGTGAGAAATTCTTGATTGTCGAGACGTCGACCACTTACACATGTAAGTACTCATACTGTTGTTTATGACGATGAAATTCTCTTCTAACCAAATACTTTTATCAGTATCGTTTTATGTATCGATAGCAAATATCACTATGTCGTCAGATTCATGGCAAGAAAATGCTTTAATCTTAGGTAGCGCTTCAAAATATATTCCGGTTCGTCGGTCGCTGTTCCTCTATTCCGCGACTATTTATTTATTTATTTCACGCGGAACCACTTACGCTCATAGCGTCTGGGCACAAGTAGAGAAAAAAACTAAATAAAAAAAAATTCACAATCAAAGATTCCACATGATGAATGAAATAAAGAACATTTTCCGGTTTCACATCACACAATAGAAAAAAATTTGAACATTATTGTTTCCTAACCATGTTTCTAATTCTTCTCCAAAATTATTGGTGTAGGACGAATCCCATTGAGGAGAAGACGCATTGAAATCAACGCCAATCAAAAATTTCGGAGACGAAATGTACAAATATTCAAGAAAATCAGCCGGAAATGTCAATGACGGAGGACAATAGATGCCGCCGAGAAGAAACCTGTCATGTAGTGTGTGCAGCCAAACGTGTGTCGAACTATATTCTAGAAAAACATACATTTTACTTTCTGAGATAAAGGGGTGTCAATACCACAGCTGAGCATAAGGAAAATATGTACTTTCTATTGCCATCGTAAATAGATGTATGAGGATTTATATGTGTAAGATTGTCCGAGTATAAATCGTTTACAATCCGATAGAGTACAAGTATACATAAGCTCTTACTTAGTTTCGTATAAGCCTGTCAAAATGTATCAATCAGATTGAAGGTTAGGGAAGCGTTCCAAAATATATTCCAATCGGTCGGTCGTTACTTTCCTATTCCGTTCATTAAGTCGATGTAGGTATGATATAACGTAATTTAGAACTGTTTTATACATAACTGCCTTGTTTTGTAATTGCATAAACATGTAACATGTAAAGTCATTTTTTCTTTACAAATGAGGTGATAGATATAAAAGCAATCTTTCTAGATTTTAGAATGCATCAACATATTCAGCTAAATTAGTGGTTAACGTTTAAAAAAATCATACTTTCTTCTCTGATATTCAGCAGCTAAAAAAACTCGTTTTGACTACTTTGACTTTCCGGCTTTCTCTTCAGGTCATGATAATCAGAAATAATGTGTGTTCGAACTTTATCTATTCACTGAATAATGACATTAATTTTATGTAGAAAATGAAATAAAGTAGAAATGAAACATCAAAATAAGATTAAATCAAAATTTCGTGCTATTTTTCTAACTCGGAAAGTTGACAACATTCGTAAATCATGTAATTATTTTAACGCAAAAAAGTCTTTTAGTAGTACCAGTATCTTTCTTTACGACACTAATAAAATTTCTCTTCAAGACTCGATAAAATACTGGAATAAAGTCGTATTTACGCTCTCTCTAAGGTAATAAAGCTTAATCGTAATATATTTTATATA